TATGAGGTACCTAAGCTCGTTGACGTCGCACCAACCGAGATATAAGTTCGAAGAAGGCATCTGATGTACCTGAGAGCATCAAATTCAAAGTTTGGGTTGGTTGCTTCTGATGGCAAAAAATGGACTCTGTTTCCATCCAAGAAGGCCTGAAAGTGAACTCAGATGTGTACTTAGGAATTCGTAAGGGTCATGTTTTGCCCAGGATTACATCTACATACGGCAAGGATGCGTTGTATTCCAGCAAGACGGAGCCCCTCTCCACACGTCAAAGAAAGGACAACATGCCCAATTCTGGTCCAAAGAGACCTAGCTTACCAACCTTAATTCCTCTCGATTTCAGTGAACATTGAAGCACTTGTCTGTGAACATGTTCACCCGAACTTGAACTCTCTGCGGACCTCCATAACAAACAATTTGAGAGAAATGTCATGTGATAATATTGTCAAGGTCTGCAAGAGCTTCAGGCGGCGTCAGAAAGCGGTCATAAATGCAAATGCAATGCAATATGCCGGCCATATTGAATGAAAAGGAAGCGCAATCTTTAACGATCTTTTTTGTCAATACAGGTTATGTTTAAGGTAGATAATAAAGATACTAAGCTTGAATGAAATTAAACATGTTTGAGTCTCATTATTTTCTGACGCATACTGTAGATGTAAGTAGTGTTATTCTTGCAGCAGCCAATTTTTGATGTTGTCTGGATTTTTCCAGATTTAAGTTCTTCGATGATCAAAATATTGACCTTCAAATCAGTACATGCAAACCATGGCCACTTAGTAATGAAACAATCTCTTTTGCTTACTACAGCGCTCCTAGTGGACGTTTCCGGAAGCTTGACGACGAATCGGAAGCCTCAAAGTAAACGCCGGAGTTGAACTGCCAACCGTCAGCTTCATGGAATGGTCGTGAGGCCCATCAGAGCCAACCCAGGTATGTCCGATCCGTAGTACAGTGCAGCGAATTCGCTACTGCCAAGGCTTACATGCATACCGCGCCAGTAGGTAACTAAATCGATCACTCAAGCAGAATACCGTAGCTAGAACCCTATAAACGTCAGAGAAGTCCTATGACCTTCAGAGATCTCTTAAGAACTTTACGAGCTTCATGGAATTCCTGGAGAACCATAAAAGAACTCTTTAGAAGGTTTTAGAATAGAGATATTATATGCACTTCAGTGAAGTCTTGGGTACTCTGGAAATGTTCTGGGATTTCTACAGATGTTATGGGCAGTCCTGAAAACTTCTGGGTACTTCAGACAACCAGACGAACGGACGACCATTTTCAATAAATTTTCAAAATCATTTTGTCCCATCCGTATAATGTTCCGGAATCCTTCATTAACTTCCTGTTCCAGGCTGTCCAAAAGATTCAAACCGAACGTTCGTTTAGCTGACAAAATGCTCTCTTGTCCGAGGGGGACGACTCTATTCCCGATGCAGGAAAGATTGTGTTTTGCTGTGGCTAGCTGCGCGCATGCTGAGTAGATAGAAAGAAGATTGATGACGATTCTGAAGATTTCCTGCAAAAGGATGACGCACGATGCAAGTAGATGCGAGAAATAAAAGAAGATTTGGATGTGTTGCCTCCCTCGCTCTTGCCCACCGCTGTTTTGACCTCCTTCTCTTTCGACAATGAATCAACATCCACCATATTTGTCACACAGTTGCTTTTGAAATTTTCCCTCAGAAGTAGATTATGTCCGTAGACGCGAATAAATAATGTCACGCCAGAGGTTAATTTGGTGCCTAACTACGGCGGGGGATGTCAGATGAAGTATGGTAGTACAATTCGTCGACAGTCAATCAACTGCAGCAGAAGGAAGGGTTTAAGCCGATTAAAGCGACGGAGCAGTCGAAGACAGGATGAAGCTCCTTGGTGCGCTGTTTGACCTGTACCGATCCGGATCACAACGTGAAGAACTGTGAAGTGTTCAGGAAGATGAACGGAGACGACACCTCTGCTGAACTTGTGTCGGTAATCATGGCTACAAAATGGTGAGTTTACAACCTTGAAGGTGTTTTATACCTGAATCCGGTCTTCACGAGTTCCTACCTCACACCTCCACGAGTCATATTATTTCAAACGACTATTAGCTGAAACATGGACACAGCTGGGCGGTGTAGCCTGGGAAATGTTGTCAATCCAACAATAGCCGGCTACACAGGAAATACTCGCCATCCTGATCGTCTATTCACCGTGAAATTCTGGTCAAACAGTGTCTGCCAGGCATCCAGTGGATGAACAAGAAATTCTTATAACCGGCAGCCCAGTGATGGCGGATAGGAGACCTTAAGCTAACCGTCTACTGTATCCGAAATGTATAAAATGTTACCGAAACCAACCTTTGGCACCACTGAAGGCGCCCATGATACTTAAGTTATCATGGTAGAAAACCAATCCGATTCCACGCTGAACAGCCACGCACAGAACCGGGTCGCAAGTGGAATGGAATGGTGCGTACCGTCGATACAAACTTAAACCGGTTAGCTCGCTGGCACTTCCAAAACAGTCACTCCAGTACAGTAAGCAACATCACCGGAATAAATCAATTTTGGATTATAACTTCGTCGCCCCGAGAATTCTAATCGGAGCGAAAAGGTCAGAGGATTGAAATGATGAGTCAATCGAAGCGAAAATCAGATTAGGATGGACACAGTTCCCATCTTCACATCCGTGAATGCAGAGAGGCAATATTCCCGATTTAGGGACGGAGGACTGGACAAACGAACTCGATCTATTAATTCTGCAGCAGACAACGTTGAACTATTGTGGCGACATGATCATGTAGAATTCCCGATAGTTATCCCATGGCACTTCACAGACTACAGTGCAAACCCCGTTGTAGTCTGCATATGCATTTACACAGTGCATTAGTGTTCGTGAGATTCTGCTTGGAGAACTTAATTGTAGAGACCGTGATGCTCAAAGTTGGTCAAATATGAGACGTCATTTGGAGTCCAAAGTAAGTACGATTCCGTGCCATATTGCGTATTTGAATTTCTCTGCTAGTGTCATTGACGGCAGTCACCAGTGAGTTCAAATACACGAACTTGACGACCACCTCGATGGCCTATGCTAGTATTGCCTATTTCCGCGTGAAGATCCGAAGATGCAACACAGTTTATGAGAAGACCCGAAGGAACATGGCTACGCTAACCCATAAACAAGGAAACTTCTGTAGAACTAAACCCCGTGTTTTGTGCAGAACACTTGTGCTGCACGATGAGCTTATCACTTTGGAGCTGCTTTTTGAAGCTTGAGAGACTTTGGCAGGTCATCACACATACCTTCCGTTGATTTGGAAATCATCGACGAAAACCACAAGGACAGACTGCCCTGGTAACAATTTTGGTTTTATAACGGTTCTGTAGACCATGATTTAGACTTAAAGCATGCTTTAAAACCTCGATAAAACATGCAATGTTACGTGGACGTACCTGCACGGTAACAATGAGACAGTTTTCAATGAAATTAGCCAGCGGTTCCACGTACCATCTCGAACCCAGGTTTGCAAGGAGGTGAAGGCTTGAAGACTGAGCCCATTCATTTGGCCCTTCTCATGTGTTGGCTTCGACAATCATTTTGGCCCTATCCACATCAAGGTAGGACGATCGTGTTAGTGATGAGCTGGATTGCATTGATGCCGTGCCGTACACTTGGAAATAGGACATTCGGTTTCCAACAAATAATTAGAGCTGGTCTTAAATAAACAATTTTTTAACTGAAGAAGCCAATTTTTGCCTGCATTAGCTCCTATTCAGCATTCAATGTTTGTTGGGTAGCTATCGACAGTATTTAATAATTTGATTAATTGGAAGCTAGTGAAAAGTCTGGTGGATGAATTCTGGCAACGCTGAATTAAGAAGCTAGCCGCCATAAGTAGATGGAAGACTCGAAGGACTTGACGGAAGGCAGCCTGGTGTTCATCGTGAACGAGTCCACACGAAAGGGATGGCAGCAACTGTCTTTTCGAGTCAGGCAAGCATTCGGCAAAACCCAGAGCGTGGTACTCACTCACTCAATCACTAAATTCTGTGCATTTCCAGGCGCATAGGGCCAACGTGAAAGATTTCCATTTCGACTGCTTGCACTTGCCTTTACCTGGACCCAGGTCAGCTAGACAGTATCGCAGATCACACCAGCTCAAAACTACATGATATCGGTAACGCTGAACGACCGGGGTCTGTTAACTAGACTTACAGGTCGGTTACCTGTCATCTGGTTTGGAAAAACTACAAGAGACAGCCCTATGGGGTTGTACGCAATGGTAACGTAGGACTACGTGGTCTTATATAATAAATCTTATTGTTTAACTGCAGCATGAGCTTGTGTTTTGTGTAGTATAACGCGCTTGACATAGATGGCCAACACCGAGTCACTCACGAAGAGCTACTGATTCCGATCAATAGCGGAGTGGCTTCTTCCTCCTTCTATGGATGCTGCCGCTCGCTGTTTGCAGGCAGCCTTGTGTTGTGTACTGGAGAACACCACCACTCACCACGCGGTGAATGAATAAACACTGTTTGGTGAGACTGGATGGAATTCAACTTTGAAATCTGCGTTAGGGAAATCGCTTTTCGCAGGCAATCGGTGATAATTTTAACTATCATAGCAACAGTTGCACATTCGTAAAATTTTCACTAGCGACATTTTGATAAAAAAAAATGATAAAGTTTTGAATTTGACAGATGCATAGGAATATTTCTGATCGATAAGTGATAAAATTATTGAAATTGGTCCAGAGGCAGCTGAGTTATTAACATTCAAAATCTTTCATAATTTTGTTACATGTTCCATTTTCTGTTTTCACAAAGTGTATCCCCATATAGAAATCACAGACGTAGGGCCTTATTACGGGTGTCACTACACGGTGATAAGGAAGTGATACTCGGAATAAGAGCCGTGATTGCCGAACAAATCAAATGGGAATCACTTCACCGTGACGACAAGTGACAAGTTTTCACCGTGAAGTGACATCCGTAATCAGCCCTGTAGTCCTACGTCAAAAGTCACTCCAAACGAGCAGATAAGCTGCCGAATGGATGAAATGTCATCAATTTCTCTTTACAGGAACTCCAATAAATGAGTTTCGACTGTGAGTACGTTCCATTGTGCAAATGGTGCTTCACGACAACGAAAAAGTATATGGAATATAGAGAAGATGATGCAAACTTAAGGCTAGCAGCATGGCTATTCTAAATCTTGATGTGTGCCAAATTTTATCAAAATTCATCATCATGTGTGCCGAGGAGTGCCCTAAAAATGTGCTAAATCTAGTTTTGGCACACTGTGGACCACAAAGAAATCACCGTTGAGAGCTGTCAGAAATCCATCTGCCCCGTCTGGTACAGTTGCATGCACAGTGCACTGTATGAAACCAATGATAGCCATTTTGTTTTCGCATTCTCCGCGTGATCCTTCCATTTCTTCCCCTATCCACATTTCCGATCGGAGAAGCTTTTTTGTACCGAAACAAGCAGGAAAACCATCCTAACGCAAATTACCTAGTACACAAACAGTCAGTCAGCTTTCACACCACGCTACCGAACAAAAAAGAGCGTCACAATCGCATGGCACATTATGTTTTTGTTTTGGGTTCGCTTTGCTCTAGACACTCATGTATAAACAATTACAGTTTTGCTTTGCTGCCTAGCAATGTTTCTATTTCTCTTTAAATAACTAGTGCCTGTGTGTGAGAGTGAGTATGTGTGTGTGTGTATCTGTTTATGTTTTTTTTGCAAACATCTCGCGTTGTTTTTGTCTGTGTGAGTGCATTTTCTTTTGTTTTTTTTTGTTATCACCACTTGCTTTCATGGTGTAAAGAGGGAAGGACGCGGGGGTCGGCTTCAAAGTTGACAAGCAGCACAGCCATAGTCAAAGCTTGCTGCGACGAATCATGGGAAGAACGCAAGGCAATACTTATTATTTTCTTTGATTTTTCTCGGTTAACTGGAAGTTCATTTCATTTCCTTTTGCTCTGCTTATTCGTTTCGGCAAGTGTAAGTGTGTGTTGGTGTGAGTGTGGCTTACTTTTCAAAAATACAGTCCTATTGGAAGATTCGAGGGGAGTCGTAGTTCCCTTTGACGTTTTCTTTTACATTTTGTTACCTTCATACGAGTTGTGTTTTTTTTTTGTTTGTTTGTTCACTTATGTTTGCTTTATTTTACCATTTTTCCGTAGTTTGTGTGTGTGTATTGAATGTGATATTTGTGTGTTTTGTGTGTGACGAAACCGTCAGTGTTTTCTTATCCGCTTTCGTACGCATATGTGTGTGTGTGTATGTGTGTGTACATGTTATTTTATTTTGTTTTGATTTTCTTTGTTTACTATACGTTTTCTCGTGTATGTATGTGTGTTACCTATTCTTTGGACGCTCACATTTTGCGATAATATTCTTGGTTAACCTCACTTTCCTGCTTCTGTTAAATTAGTAGTTGTTTTAGGTTTCTTTACACATTTATTACATGGTTAATTGTTATGTTTTACTTGTTCAGTTAGTGTTTAACTTGCTTAGTTGCAGCAGTGTCTTGTATTTTATGCTTTTGTCTCTGCGCTTATGTTTGTGTATTCCCCATTCACATGTTTTAACAATTTCCCATTTTATTTCCTCCGTCGGCTTGGTTTTGATTCACTGTTTATACAAAACTTGATTACTTCGACTAGTTGTTTGTTTTTTTTTGTTCTATCCTCGTTCGTCCATCGCTTTGTTATGTCATTACAGGGAAGATCATTGTAAGCGTAAACTTGAGTGATCATAATTAATGTTTGTTTACATTATTGGTTAGTTCATTCAGTGTGTTTGCTTGAAAGAAACATCAAATTGAATACTTCGAGAAAGTTGTTTACCCATGATAACAAACAAAAAGTTGAGACCGAGTTCGTTTAGTATTCATCGGAAAAGTTGAGCTTTTTTGGTTTAATACTTGGATTCTTCTTCCTCTTTGACTTGCTTCGTTCTCCCGTTTTACCTATGTATGTGTTAGTCGTTTGTTTACTTTCAATTAGTCTACACATCGTTTTTTTTTGTTTATCAATGTCTAATAACTATTTCGTACAAATATATAAAAACAACTTTTTCCCTTTTTCCTTATGTTACAAATTAATATCCCGTGTGTGTGGTATGATTTTCCTTTATCTGTTTGTAAGTGTTAAGTTTGAGTGTTTTCTACGATTTTTCTCCCGTACTTGCGATTGTTTTCATCTAATATCAATGCGTGTTTGTTTTTGTTATGTGTGTATTGTTTTTTTTTCCGTGTAATGTGACAGTGTGTATTGTTAATTTTAAATATTTCCTAGTTTTTGTTTGTTTGTGTTTTGGTTATTCGTTTACGAGTTTTTTTTTTTCTTGCGTCTCCTTCTAGTCTGTTTACGATTTTTTCTCAGTTTGTTTTTGTTTTTATTAAAAAGGGGTTTTCATATAAAATGAACTTTACAAATAAAACAACTTCACCGCACTTTCCTCTCCTGTTTTTGTTTTTTTCACAGTTTTTTTTTTGCTCAATTGTCGTTAATAACTATGTTACAGTTAAAGATTTACTGTTCTTGTATGTTTCTTCATCTGCACCTTGGAAAACCTAAACTAAAATATAATGTATTGCGATTATTTATGAAATCTTTCTTTGTTTTTTTTTCTTGTTTACTATACTTGTAATGTTTTTCCTTTATCGTTTGTTTTGTTGTTGTTTATGAATCATTTTTCTCGACAGTATTGTTTTAATTCATAATTGGAATAAAAAATTCATTTACTGTTGCCTTTTTTCTTCACCTTTAATTAAAATATTTAATTTATCTAATGTTAGTGTTATCCTTGTTTAATTATTGTTAATGCCTTGTTTATTTTTCTTCTTTTGTTTTCCTGGATTCGAACAAAACAAAAGTCAAGAAGTCGTTTTCAAATAGAGCTACTAATCGTGCGTGCGTTGTGTTTTTGTCGTTCAAATTCCACGAACAATGGCACCTAATAGTAAATAACCTTCGCAGTGTCAACTGTAGTGTCTACCATAGCCGGATGTTGTTGTTGTTGGTGGTAGTGGTGCTGGTGCTGGTGATTGTTATGATAGTATTGGTAGTAGTAGTCTTCGTAATCGTAGTTGTCTACTCGGCGGCTTTGGATTGCTCGGATATCGTTGCCATGGATACCATTGTTGTTGTTGTTGTTGTTGTTAATAGGGGTTCTCGTTAGTTGACGAGTGCTGTCGGCGCTGGTGCTGCTGCCAAAGCAGAGCATTGCTAGCATTGTAGAACAGTAGTCGTACGGGTAGTAGTAGTAGAATGAGCAACAGTAGCGCCCTCGGTAAAGTTGCTGACAGAATTGGCAGATGCTGCAGTGCTGGTAGAGCAGCCCCCTCGTCGTCCGTCTCTCTCACCGCTATACACACTCGCCGTTATCGTCAAAGCGGTCGCAGTTGTTTACAAACAGATCGTCATTCAGGTCGTCCGTATCAAGCAGGGTGTCGTTGATGCACACGTGCGGTGGTACACTGACCGGTGGCAGTGGTGCCGGTGGAATCTGCATCGGTTCGCTGTTGTTGATACCGTGCAGGCTGCCCGAAAGGCTGCCACCACCTTGCAGGTGGCGCCGGCTGGAACCTAAGCCTGGGAATTTAAGAGTTGAATTTGAAAATGTTGTGGTTGTTTTTTGTCAGTAGACATCTCAAAATAATATACATTCGGCTTCGCCTGCGAGAGCCGAACAGGCTTCCGCAGGCGAAGAAAAGCACGCATCCGCAGACGGAGCCTTTGCTACCGGCTCCGAGCAGGCTTCTGCTGGTGGAGCCTGCAGATGCCTGCTCGGCTCCGCCTGCGGATGCCTGCTCAGTTCCGCCTGCGGAAGCCTGCTCGGCTCCACAAACGGAGGCTTGCACGGTTCCGCCAACGGAAGCTTGCATGGTTTCGCCTGCTCGGCTCCACAAACGGAGGCTTGCACGGTTCCACAAACGGAAGCATGCCCAGCTTCCGCCAACGGAAGCTTGCACGGTTTCGCCTGCAGAAGCCTACTCGGCTCCGCCTACAGAGGCTGGCATGGTTCCGCCTGCGGACTCCCTACCTTCACCATTGTATCTAAATCTAGTATCATCGCGCAATACTCACTGATACCGGTCGCACTGGTCGTCGAGTCGTAGTGGGCTGCGTTTCTATGCAGCCCCAGCTGTCTGTGATGTCTGCGTTTTCTTTTTCGATGACAGAGAGTGCAAAGGAGACAGATTAGGAACGAGGCGGCGGCTATGCAGCTTATTATTAGAGCGCCGTGATCCTCCTCGGGAATCATGATGGTGCCTACGGGATGGTAGCATGGTTGCGGTTCCCAAAAAGAAAACATTCCAATGATCGGTTTTGCGTTGTGCGAATCCAGGGGCGGAGTGGGAATTTGACCGTAAATTTTCGTTACACATTAGTCATGCAGCGGTTATGTTTGAAGGGAAAGAATCAATCGGTTAGTAGCTGTTGTTAGAAAGCTGTTCAATTGTTTAATATTAGCGTTGGTTAGAATATATCGATTGCAAATATTCGATTAGCGTAGTGTGTAGTGGCTGAATGTCAGTGTGAGTGAATAAAGGCAAAGCGTTGGAAATGGTCATGACATTTTTTTTCAGCACTTCGATGACAGTCATGATCATTTCTGCATAGTTTTGGACGCAGTGTTGTTGTTATTGTTTGCATTATTATTATTATTATTCAAACAGGTACAAATAGGTTCATGAGTCAAACGCTAAAATCAGAGTTCATTTTTTTTAAATGTCATTCATGTGACAGAAACTCAAAATTGGAATGTAAACAAAATTCACTTAAAATCGAAACCGAACGAATTTGTTGTTCATTTGTAGAATAAGTGGGATCCAAAGGAAAAAGCAGAAGCGTAAAATAATTGATTTGGATTTGCCATATGAAGAAGAAGTCGCTCGTTTCTTTTGGGATTACCCCGATGCTATTTTTTTTTAAAGTGCGCGTATGTGTGTGTATGTGTTTGCTAGTGCATATTTGCGGTGTGATCAGTTCAAAATACTACAAACAAATCTAATGTTCACGGTTTATGCTTTCTGGTACAGTCTAAAATTCTATAGATTACACAAATCCATTAGCAACGGGAGTTTATTGTGGTTTTGAGAGTATATTGGTGTAAGGTTAAAAGTAGTGCGTGATAACGATATATTTGAAGCCGTGATGAAAAAGGTTGAAAATTGTGCAGATAACTCACTTGTTTATAATTTGTTTTTGAAAAAGCTAAGTGGAAGGCAGCCATGGAAGTTCCGTTGTATTGGTTACAGTTTTGTTTTGTTCTGTTTGAAGATGAGTGTTTGTGTTTAGGAGAACAAACGTCATGCACAACTGAGATAGCTCGGTTTAGAATTGTTCTCTTCAAATGTCGAATCTTACGCGTTATCAGCGAGAAAGGAGTTCAATTTCGTGTCATTGTTTGTGTTTTGTTTATGTTTGGAGGTGCGTTTGAGTACTATGGAAACAACATTTAGCGGCTTTCTTTTCCTACTTCTGGCACTCGTCGTGGGGGGTTGAGGATAGCTCACTATCAACGCTAATGGTAATGACGATTATGGGACATCCAGACAAATGCCACCAAAAGGTAACACACAGTAGAAATAGGATTGGAAGATGCTTCACCTTATTTTGTGGAACCGGTGGTTGGTTGTAGTTGTGATGGTGATGTTTGTAGTTTTAGTTTGAATAGTAGTAGTAGTGGTAGTAGTAGTAGAAGTAGTAATAGTTGATTGGTGGTTTGGAGGTTGATTGTTGTTGATATTGATTTGGACAGTTGATTTGAGAGGTAAGTTCAAGAGAAGAAAATAAGAAAAGATGAAAGAAAAGAAACAGGTGAGTATTGTCATTCAGATGGTTCTAGGACTACTGTTTTGCCAGCGTCGAGTCTTCAGCTTTCAGAAGTGCTTGCAAAGCAGTTGATCAGTTCAATTTGAAAGTGAGTTTCATGGAACGTGTATTAAAGGAAACTATGATTACGACTACAGTTGGAAACCTTAAACGGAACACCTTAGGAACAGAGTTTTGATTGACTAAATAACACTGGTGTCATAATTATTATAATGTGAAATTAATTTCAGTGTATCATAGCTTATAGAGTTCTCCAGACAAGAGTGTGCGTGAGACCGCGGGGTTCCAGTTGAAGTAGTTGTGATATCGCGATACCTTTTTGGTTCTTCTGCTTCTTCATTTTTATATTTGGACGTTGGACTTTAGTGTTCGTGAGATTGTGTTTGGAGATCTCTATTCGGAATGGAAGATTAAAGACTGGAACGCGCAAAAATTGTTCGACAAAAAGATTGTTTCTTTCAGTCAAAATTCATGTCACAAAAATCTTCTTATTTTTCTTTTGGTAGTTCAATTCATATATTTAAAGGAAAAAATGTTCGTTTCAAATCCGTGCCTTCCGCTTAACCCCTTCCATTAAATTTTACACAGTGGTCTCATCGACCTTATTTGCCGCCGAACGCCAGTTAGATTTAAACTGCTGCTCGCTTTACATGGATTTATTAGTTTTTTTGAGATTCCGTTTGACCAAGGCCCAATACCGTTCGATAGGGCGGAGTTCTGGGCTGTTGGGAGGGTTGTGGTCTTTCGGTACCACAACCACGTTGTTCGCATCGTACCACTCGATTGCCTTTTTCCCATAGTAGCAGCTCGCAAAGTCCGGCCGCCGGAACAGCACAGGTCTATTATGTTGCTTTAGGAATGGTAGCAGCCGATTTTTCAGGCACTCCTGGACGTAGATCTCTTGATTGATTGGTTCTCGTAGTAATGAAAATGTCGTTTTTCAGACCACACGTGTATATGGCCTGCCAGACGAGATATTTTTTCGGGAACATCGATAGTTTGATGGTTTTGAAAATTTCGGCCACCTTCCCTTTTCCTGCTGCGGTATAAAACTTTTGTCCTGGAAGCTGCTTAAAATCCGCCTTCACATAAGTTTCGTCGTCCATGACGACACAGTCAAACTTTGTGAGCAGATTCGTATACAGCTTTCGGGACCACTGCTTTGCCGACGTGTTTTGTTTGTTATCTCGGTTCGCCACCTTCACCTTCTTAAACGTCGACAACCCGGCTCATTTCTTGGCCCGCTGCACAGTAGTATCTGAGACATTGAGCTTGCCAGCGACGTCCCGGAAGGAGAGGTTAGGATTCCGCTTATATTTCACCGCCACCTTCTTCGTCGTCGCTGCCACGTCCGGATTACGATTGCCGCCGCTTCCAGGCTTCCTGGCGGTCGACAGACGCTCCCTGAACACTTAAAACGTTTGTCACGGTCGATTTGGACACATGCAGCAATTTTGCCAACTTGGCGTGTGAGAACGTCGGATTCTCTTGCTGCGCGAGCAAAATTTTGACACGCTGCTCCTCTTGCTTGTCATTTTGAAAACTGGAGAGCAAACGGTGAAAACTCATCATAGCAACCATTGTATATACACTCAGCTTCCAAATGCAGCATTTCAGGTTTTTTTTTAAGCACAGCTGGTTGGCGTAGCCTGGGCAATGTTGTCAATCCGACAATAGCAGAGTGAGGAGGTGCGACGCGAACATTGGCGCAGTAACCATAGAACGGTGATAGAGGAAATGCTTCGCCAACTCGAGCGTCTGTTCACCATGGAGGTGCGGCTCAAACAGCGTCTGACAGGCATCCAGCGGCTGTATAAGAAATGCTCTTCCCCGGAAGCTACACCTAAGATGGCAGCCCCATCACGGCAGATAGGAGACCTTAGGCCAACCACCTACTGTCTCTGAAACCTTTACAATTGTTACAGAAACCAACAGACATCGAACTGATTTAACTGGCACAACTTACCAACGAGGCGCAACGCATGAAGCTAGAAATCCTGGGACTGAGTAAAGTTTGTTGGCCAAACTTTGGAGAACACAAACTGCCGTCGGGACAGGTACTACTATACTCTGGTATTCGAGGTGAAAACGCTCCCCGCCATCGTGGAGTTGGTCTCCTACTTAGCATCCAGGCAAGTGCGGCGCTCATCAAGTGGGAGCCTGTTAATGAGAGGATAATCGTTTGCCAGATTTAGAACACGGGTTCGTAACCTTACCATAATCCAATGTTATGCGCCAACCGATGCTGCCGAGCTACAGGACAAGGAGAATTTTTACAGTCAACTGAATGCCGTCGTGGATAAGGTTCCAAAGGGTGACATCAAGATCTACACTGGCGACTTCAATGCGAAGATCGGCTCCAACAACACGGACCAAGAGCGTGTCATGGGACGCCATGGTCTCGGCGAAATGAGCAAGAACGGTGAGCTGTTTGCAGAATTTTGTGGCAATAACGACATGGTGATCGGGGGCTCGCTCTTTTCCCATCGGCCAGTACACAAAGTCACGTGGGTTTCCCGTGATGGACATACCGAATCCGCCTACGCATGGTGCGGATCCAGCGACGGGAGGAGAGACTCGGGCGGCGGTTTAACACACGCCGACTTGAAGATCCAGCGGTAAAAAGATCTTTTGTTGAAGAACTTGAGACTCGAGCTGCGGACGTTCTAGAAGGTGGCAGCGTAGAAGAACAATAGACGGCCATCAAGAATGCCTTTATAGAAACAAGCGAGAACAACTTGGGTGAGATGAAACCTGGCGGAAGATTGAGGAGCGTAGAGAAGCAAAAGCCGCGATAGAGCGGGCGAGAACCAGAGGAGCCAAGAACGAAGCCCGTCAACGGTACTCGGCTCTAGAGAAGGAAGTCAAGCGCTCTTGCAGACGGGACAAGCGAGCGTGGGTGAACTCTCTGGCCGACGAAAGGGAGAAAGCCGCAAACACTGGCGATATACGCCTCCTCTACGATATCTCACGACGCCTGAGTGGAGCAAGGATGGACCCGAGGATGCCAGTGAAGGACACGACTGGAAAATTGCTTACCGACCCACTGACCAGCTGAAACGCTGGTTTGAGCACTTCGAACAACTTCTTCAAGTTTCGACGGCCAGCCAGCCATCAACATCTCGGCATGATCCGCCTAGGGTGCGGCGCATCACTCGCGTCAATTCCGAGGCCCCATCACTGCAGGAGATTGAAGCAGCTATCCGAAGCATGAAATCCAACAAGGCTCCAGGGGTCGATCGCACATTAGCAGAGATGCTCAAAGCTGACCCCATGCTATCCGCACAAATGTTGTATCAACTATTCTGTAATATCTGGGACACCGCGACTTTTCCGGCCGACTGGATGCAGGGCATCTTAGTTAAGGTCCCAAAGAAGGGCGATCTGACTGTGTGCAACAATTGGCAAGGTATCATGTTACTGTGTATTGTTCTCAAAGTTCTGTGCAAAGTTATCCTGAATCGGATACAGGAAAAGATCGACGCGACTCTCCGACGGCAGCAGGCAGGATTCCGTGCCGGAAGATCTTGTGTGGACCATATTGTCACGCTCCGCATCATCATGGAGCAGGTCAATGAATTCCAAGAGTCCCTTTATTCGGTATTCATTGACTACGAAAAAGCTTTCGACCGTCTCAATCACGAGAATCTGTGGAGCGCCCTGAGACGCAAGGGAGTCCCGGATAAAATCGTCAACCTCATCGAAACGCAGAGTGCACGTGCAGAGTTCTGCATAACGGAGCCTTGTCTGACCCTATCCGGATAGTCGCTGGTGTGAGACAAGGATGTATACTATCACCGCTACTGTTTCTCATCGTAATCGACGAGATCATGGTAGGTGTAATTGACCGTGTACCGAACCGTGGGCTGCTTTGGCAGCCTATCACCATGGAGCATCTCAACGACTTCGATTTGGCTGATGCTGTTGCTCTACTAGCACAACGGCGCTCTGATATGCAGAGTAAGCTCAATGACCTAGCCGAACGCTCCTCTGCGGCGGGTCTCACCATCAACGTCAACAAGACCAAATCGTTGGATATCAACACGGGCAACCCTTCCAACTTTACGGTAGCGGAGCAAGCAGTGGAGAAGGTCGAAAGTTTCCAATATCTTGGCAGCCAAATAGCGTCGGACGGCGGGACCAAGAGCGACATAGGTGCACGAATCAAGAAGGCTAGGGCTGCCTTTGCGAGTTTACGAAACGTATGGAGATCCAACCAGATAAGTCAACGCACCAAAATCCGAATTTTCAACTCGAATGTGAAATCTGTGTTGTTATACGCCAGCGAGACGTGGTGTGTATCAGCGGAGAACACTCAAAAGCTGCAGGTCTTCATCAACCGATGCCTGCGGTATATAATTCGTGCCTGGTGGCCTCACAACTGGATCTCGAATGCCGAGCTCAATCGTCGATGTCATCAGAAGCCGATAGCAACAGAAATTCGAGAGCGAAAGTGGAGGTGGGTCGGCCACACACTTCAACGGGGTGGAAACGAAATCTGCAAGCAAGCACTGGATTGGAATCCGGCATGAGATTGCAGCAGAGGCAGACCCAGGGGCTCATTGCGGCGGAGGCTCAATAAGGAAATTAAGCAAGTCGATAGGAATCTGACCTAGGCCCAGGTCAAGGCAGAAGTGAGCAGCCGCCCAGGATGGAAGTCTTTCATCCGTTCGAATAGCTCTAGAAACCCTAGAAAACCCATTCATTCAGGTCAGACCCGAGGATATATGAAACAAGCTTAAACTAGGGACAAGCCTACGGGGGTTATTCCAAGAGTCGAAGTGTCTCTCTGTCGCTACTGAGGTGACATAAGTCACGTCGTGGTTACATGACTCTTCATTTTCACGACGTGATTGTTGCCACTTCACTAGTGACCGAGTCTGTTTACTTGGCAGCAACCATTGTGTGGTCCTCTTCATTTTTTTCAATGGCAGTTTTTTGGGCAGATGCGTCGTTGACTTTGGACAGCAACCGTTTCGTGATGAGAGTATGAGTGTGTTGACCACGTTTTGCGTCCATTGCTGCAATGGAAGCGCTTTGATTGCCATACAATAAAAACCACTGGAAGCGGATCCCGTTCTGATGAAGGAGTTTTATTGGATAGCGGAAGATAAAGTGTTGGTTGTGCTGCACCTTTTGACTATAGTTTTACGATGTTCTGTATAGTGAACAAGAATCCTCGGCTCTGTGAAGTTAATTCGATTGAGCCTTATTGAATGAGTTAATAATAATAATAATAATAATAATAATAATAATACTAGTGACCGACTGTCACTTCGGCTCTCGAAAAAAAAAGCTAAGGGTTGTTTCCAAAACACGACCGCATTGTTGACGTAGAACTACGAGATTGTTTTTGATGCTCCCATTCACTAATCTATTAATAACAAAATAAATGGTTTAGAAACTTAACTCCAAAATTAACAATAAATTATTGAAATTTTTGAAATTGGGCGGTTATTGAATAAATCCTAAAATTAGGTTGCTTTTGCCACATTCGAACGTGTTCAGCAACGGTCCGCGTCTGTTTCACAGGTTTCCCTGCCTCCTGGTCTCTCACGCGCTTACGATAATCGCGGGGATATTTAGCAGCCATGTGTTGAGACCCTTTGAAGATTTTTACAGAATTTCTCAAAAAAACACTTGTTTCACTTCGAATATTGACTCTATTCAACGCGGAGTGTAAACACTGAAGCACTTACTGTACCATTTGGAATTTACAGAGAATGCTATCATGCATAATCACGATGGTGTTTCAATATGATGTCTGTGTTTGGGAAACAACCACAAAATGAAATTTTGATAGTCTTTCTTAAAAAAAAAATCACACCTTCAGCACACCTCGTGTTTTCTCGTAGATCAGACCGGAGATTCGTTTGACACCGCCACGGCGAGCCAGACGACGGATGGCGGTTATCACGACGAACCTTGCGATGAGACTTGGCGCCTCCTTTACCAAGACCTTTTCCTCCTTTGCCACGACCAGCCATTGTTGCTTGTTGGGTAGAAGAGTGGACTACCTAACCTGACACCACGTTCCTACTGCTGCTATTGATGCTTCTGCTGCCTGCCCACCACGCCTTCCGAAGCGAAAACGAGTTGAGGCTAGACAGCAGCGCTCTGTTATATCTTTTCAGGTTAAATCAGAATGATGTACAACCAAGTGATACTCGATTGTGACGACTGGTTTTGGGAAGAACGTTTATTTAATGAAAACAGTGATGAAATTATCACTTTCTATTTGTACATTGAGCAATGCTTGACATTTCCACTTTTCCAATAGTGTCTTGTTGAAAATGATCAGTCGAAAGCATTGCTTTTGATGCGTAGAAATATTTCTGATCGATTGGTGATAGAATTGTTGAAATTGGTCCAAGGGCAGCTGGGTTATTAATGTTCAAAATCTTGCATAATTTTGTTACATGTTCCATTTTTGGTTTACACAAAGTGTACCCCCCATATAGAAATCACAGACGTAGTCCTACGTCATAACCCCTACGGGTCTTATGGATAATGTCCCGAGATTTTATGGGAACTCCTTCGCACGTATAAGAATAAGTGCAGAGGCCTTTTGGGACTAGCGTAAAGAACTGAAGAGACAAGCCCTGAGACATCATGGGATTCATTTGTAAAACATTCAATACTTTCAAACGTTGTCATACGCTCTTATCAGACTAAGAAATTACTAGATGTTACAGTTTTCTTGCTGATCGTTATTATACTCGACGCATTCTTTTCTGAAGAACCTGCAGATTATGTTTCCAGTGTTAGTTAGTCAATCAGGGGTACATCCAGATAAGAAATTAACAAAAAAATGGTAGTAGAATTAACCCAAAAAATTTCAACTTAAACTGATGTAACAGAATCGTGCTCTTATATTTCAGTAGTGGAACGTGCATTTCGTTTCGTTACGTTAGGAAACCTTACAAAAGTTAATTCAGTTCAATAGTACACAAAGAAGGATGGAACAGACATTCACAATAGCGGTGGATGAAAAAGATTGATCTAGATAATGCTGGAGGATGCCATGTGTAAATTCTCTTTTATCATCATCACTAGTAGGGGCAGTCCGGAATTGATACTCTAGCTAAGGCATTCATCTGTTAGCAATGCGAGGTTAGGTTTCGTCATTTACGATTGTATCTTTCGCTCTAGAGGGTAAGGGGACATGAGGGGGTGTTTGATTTTATTTAAAGTATTTTTCTAATTGATTGCCCTCAACTTCTGTGGCAGGTTCCGATCGAAAAAATGCAGTTCGCGTTTTCGAAATAAAGCAACATGGGACAACGAATCTGTATTGGCAGGACTGTGTTCTGTTCAATAGAAGATGCTAAAAATATAATCAAACAAAGGACGGTTGAATCATAAAACTAAGCTCGCGCTGGAAGCAATTGCAAATTGCGTTCTGAACTTTGAATGGGGAGCCGATTTTTCTCTTAGTAACTCTCGTCTTTTTTTTTCGGACGGAACTGATTCGATTCGAACTGATAAAATACTTGAAATAAATCGGAAATTATACTGCGAAAAAATGAACTGAAATCCGTTCGACTCACTCACGACTCACAGTGCATTTCATCGCTATTATCCGCGGCGCCACAGTTTTTGACGCCGTCGCATCGCAGTCGCTCCGAGATGCAGAAGCCGGAAATCGGACACTGAAAGTGGTACGTGGACTCGCACAGCAGCGACATCGTGGAACTAGATCCCACGGGAGAATCCTGCACCTCGGTCCAGATTATGCGGAAGCCCTGCCCGGAGAAGGAAGACGTTGGGGATTAAGTTGCTTGGATGCTATGAGGTCGAAACTTACCTGTGCACCAATGGCCTTGTCCGCACTGGTGAAGCTGATTCGTGCGGTTTGGCCTTGGGTCACGTATTGCCAGTTTTCAACGGCTGGCTTCTCGCCGCACATTTCTATGGGCGGCATATCTGAGTCGGGTGACAGCCACAGGCGCATTACGGCCGCTGCACAGCCCCGAGCTGAAAGAGCGAAAAGATGTTGTTATTTGCGAAAGGTAGAACAGAACTACGGGTATACTTACTTGCAGGTTCTCCTTCGATGGCAAAGTAATCAAAGTAGAGCATGATCTTGTATCCGATCCGTGCCGTTATGTACCAATTGCAGGCCCGCGAAGCCAGCCCCTTACCGGGAGCATCGTAGTTAGCGGGAAAGTTCGGGGAACTCACGATGCCGGAGTCCTCTCCGGAGAAGTTTCCCCCACAGTCTCCGAACACCGATTTGGCAGTTTCGAATATGTACCGTGCCTTGAAGCCGCTGGCCACGTTTTCCTGATCCGTATGCAGCACCACCCGGATGCCAACCGCTCCCCGAGGGCTTTCTACCGGACCCGGAGCGGTTAGGCTGCAGTACCTTCCCAGGAAACGATCCGTTCCATCCCGGTACAGAACGTACATCTCCAGCCAGTCTTCGAAACACACGGAAGCTCCGTACGCTCCGAAAGTCGTATTGGCGCCGTCAGCTTTGACCTTGAAGTGGTCGAACACGATCGTGACCTGCTCGTTCGGGGTCGCCACGAACACGAACGAACAGTTCGTTTCCGATGGATAGTTCGAGGGATACCGTGGGCTGTTTAACTCGCCCTTTTTCCGTGACGTGCTGCGGTACGTGAAGCTACAGGTTCCATCCGGGGCAGCCGTTCCCGGTATCTTGTACTCAGTCTCGAAGGTGTACTTCGCCTTGAAACCACGCCCCTGCAAGTCACCCGAACTGAACACCATAACCAACCGAGGCCCATCACTGATGACGGCGTGCGGAATCTCGTTGCCGCACAGCTCGTGATCGAATTTATCGTAAGCATCTGCTACCTCCTGGCCCTTGAGATAGACCTTGAGGTAACCGTCCGTGCAGTTGGAACTGGAACGAGAACATATAACGGTCAGTAATTTCCATCAATTTATGTCGCTTATTGATTGGATTTGGACACGTGGAATGGGAAAAGACATTCAATCATCGTTAGTTTTGTCTGTGCTCTATGCGCCGGATGGGAACTAGTTTTGAAAAAGACGGTTTGTCTTCCATTCTACTTCCGACTTCTGGTCTAATTTCGCTCAAATTTATCTATTTCCGGTTGATTAGCTGTCGTTATCGTTTGCTCGAAATCGGGTGTGTGTGAGAGAGAGAGTCTAATCTTAATTTATCTTTATCGTCTTTGGCAATCGGGGCCACCCGTTGCGAATTTTCCGTCTCATTGTTTGTTTATGGTGAGAAACGGAAGAGGAAGGGAAGCAAGGAAGGATGATGATGAGAGTGGCGATAATAGCCAGTCATCGACGTATACTTACTCGCCCTTTTGATCGCCTTTCGGAATCTCGAAAATCGAAAACTCCAGCTTGACTCGTTCGAGGTTCTGAGCGTCTTGCATACCGTAAACGAAATATCTGTCGGAGAAACGTGATTAGTTTAAATTTCATGCTGCTTGCGTCTGAAATTAAATTTTGTGCACGTCATCACGTTACATAACTACGTCAAGCGGTCAGTGATTATTGTCTATTTGTCAAACAGGCAGCGCGATATTTGTTATGTTAGTTTTTGACGGCTGTATGATTCCAACTTACCTACAAACTACTTTCGGTATAAACGGGAAAGGATAATTTGGCGAGTATACATATCCGGTCGATTCTTTCTTCGATAAGATTTTCTGATCACATTCGGAGCCTCGTATATGCATTCCGTTGTTTTCACCTGCGTTGTTATTGTTAGAAATAATGCCGTTGTTCAACTGTCTGTCTCCTTCGAGATACTTACGAATAAAATCTAATTTAACAAAACTTTCACTAAATTCAAAAATTCCCTTAAAACCACGATTCTGCGTGTTGGCGGTTCGTTGCAGCGTCGAAAAGTGCACGAACAGAAACTGTTCGCTCGAGTAGAGGACCAGGTTCCTCTGTTGACCGCAGTACGTCCCGATAACGGCGGATGTGTTGTCCTGTCCGTCGAACACCCGGACGTAGTCGAATGGACAGCTGTAAATGGCAGGGCAGAAAAAAAGGTGTTTAGAAGTATGCACATTTTAAATGAAAAGTGACAGTTTACGATAGGATTATAACGAGTATTACGGTTTATCCGGCGAGCAGTTATACCGTATGCGTGATAATGTTTGCACCATTGAGCAATGTCAAAATTAAAAAAAAAATCAAGTTTTCAAGTTTTTTTTTATTTGTTTAAAGGGGGATGTTTCTCAGAGTCTTAAACTATGTTAATTATCGATCGAGTTTTCACTTGCTGCAATTACGGCCTCCACAAGCTTCCGGAATGCACGGCAGGTTCTAATAATGTAGTCTGGATCCATTTCTCTCCCGGTACGGGTCAATGTTTGTCTGAGGCTTGCTGTACTCGGGTGGCGTTTAGAACAGTCTTTGGCCTTCATGACGCGCCATATTGAGTAATCCAGCGGATTAAGATCGGGGCTGGATGGCGGCCAAATATCCTTCGCCCAGAACGGAAGATGTTCCTGCAACCACTTCTGAGTGCGGTTCGAGGTGTGGCATGGAGCCCCATCTTGTTGAAATACAACATTTGGCTTCGGACCGTACTGTTCTTTGATCCACGGAAGAACATACTTACTTAAAATCCCGATGTAGACCTCCGTGTTGACCTTGTCGCCTTCTGGAATGAATACTGGGTCAATTTTTTTGCCATCGGAAGCCACCAATCCAAACACCATAACGCTAGCAGGATTCTTGGTCCGATACACGTTCTTGTGCTCGTCGGCCACGTCTTTTACCGGAAGAGAACTAATATACCGATCGGTTCTGGAATTTGCCCTCGACTTCGCCCCGCAATCTCCCTTTACGATCTTCCGTGCCGTAAAGTCACTGATCCCGTGTTCCTTTGCCATTTTTCTTATTGAACGCACTGGATTCACCCGAATCTTCCTTTTGATAGCAGCGATAACCCTCGGAACCCGAGCTGTGGCCACCTTCGCGGATAGTTGTCCTTTCTTTTCTCGGTCTAAAACCCTTTTGACGGTCCACCGGGACACTCCCACGGCGATTGAAATGTCTTTTTGCGACATTTGCGCGTGGGACTAATCACGAATACGCTGCCACTTCGTCATGGTGCAACTGTCAAACTAAGTAAATAATTTTCTTTTACACACAGCCTGCTACGGTATGAGCTATAGGTTACGTGCATGCAAAGAAAACCAAGGCATTGTATGCACAGGTGAAACGGGAACCTTATTTTAAGATGGTGCAAACATTATCACGCATACGGTACAATGTTCTTTCTCGGCAGTCAATCTTCATGTCCTACCAACCGAGTGTAGGTCATGAACGAGAGGGGAAAACTATATCAAAACTGTTTTCAGATCTTGTTAAATTGAAAACTGCTGCTGCCATTGCCTGATGTGATAGACAGACCAGTAGGCGAAGCGCAAATGAATAACTTTGTCCATTTCAACGGAAACTCATGCACTAAGGAAATCCCGAATAGAAAGTGTTATTTATTTTTATGTTTGCTGGAACAAAATCGGTTTTCATTCCTAACATCCCAAGTAACCAAAAATTCCGTATTCAACGATAAAACCCACTTTCAAATTCCATAAAGTTCCGATGCGTACTCCTAGCAACTTGAAGTTCATAAAAAGTTCCTAAAAGCATCCCTAAGCACTTCTTATGAACTTCAGGAACGGCTGAAAACATGGCCACGACAAAGTTCCGAACAAGTTCCAAGCGGAACTTCTCAGCAACTTTAAAGTATCTTAAAAATTCCCTGCGGAACTTCTTAGCAACTTGAAAGTTTCTAAAAACATCCATCGTAGCCCACATGAAGCAATCCGCCAAAGCCTTTATTAGTAACAAAATTCAATGTACGTGAATATGAAATGATCCGTGGCTCAAATAATAAATCATAATTCTTATATTTATGCAATGCATCAATATTCTATCCAAACATAAGAAAAATTAAAGAGCAATTTCCTGCATTCGAACCCGTGTATTCGGCATGCGATCTACGAACGCTAACCACTGCGCTCCAAGTGTGTTGAAATAACAGACGGGCAAACACCAATTTAAAATTCATCAAGGTGTTGTGTTTCGTATTCAAGTCAGTCACAGCTGGCTCTGAAAACTCCAACAGTAGGCGGGACAACAGCTCACTTTAATATATCTCAGATGACGTTGTTGGCACTGCTACGATCCATTTACAGTCCCCTTGAACTCGTAACGGACGGACGAGCAAAGATGCTGGCAGCCCTACCACTGCTTGTCATCACTGCAGCCGTCAACACAACTGTCAATCGTTGAAGATTTAATGAATAGAAAAATGATGAACAGTAATTTTCAACGTATAAAGTGATTGAATTGTATTCCTTAAAGTTATTGTATTTCTTGCTTAAAACTAGTGAAATTCAACTAAATGTTATTATGAGACCTATTATTTACCTGCGAAATGTAAGCTAACAATAAATATTTAGCTAAAAGCTAGTTAAACTACGCTAAAAAGAGGTGCATTGATTCCTAACCCTACATACTTTAAAATTTACGGAATCAAGTGAATTTCGGTAGTTTCCGAACGAACCGGACAAGATGCCGAAGATGAGGGCTCTTCATTGTAGCCTGTGTGATGATCCGGAGGATGAAAATATGGTCGCATGCGATCTATGCGATATGTGCTCGCATTGAGCAGGAAAAGATGCAACGTGCAAAGGAGACGGAACTGGAACGAAAACGGCTGGAAAACGATCGCCGACAGCAGGAGCAGGACCAAGCACTGGCAAAGAAGAAACTGGACGATGAGAAATCCCGTTCAGACCTGCTTCGGAAGCTGGAGGAGCAGTATCTCGCCGAAAAGTACCGGATTTTAAACGCCCAACTGCAGGGATCAGCAGGTAGAGGCAGTTTGATCAGCAGGCTTAGTTGCGGTCGTTCGTGTGATGGAGGAAAAGCCCTTTCGGACAAGCAGCAGAAAAGAAGATAGTCGAGAAAAGGATCGTGAGAAGAATGCAGACAACACCGAACGGGAACGCCTGTATAGGATGCGGCTGGAAGACAAGAAAAGTCGTGAAGTATGCCGGAAGAAGTTGGAGCAGATGGGTTTAACAGAGAAGTATAACACATTGTTCGCTCCTCGCAAACAAAGGGCATCAGAATGGGTGGACAACCTTGAAAATAAGAAATTCAACCCACCCGAGGTGCTTCCTGTTCCCCTACCGATGGGAAAATCCGGTAAGGAACGGTACACCGGAACAAAGCCAAAAGCGAGCAGGGAAGCCAATCAAGAATCTGTTGCTGACAGAAACCCCGTGGACCGAGAACAGCTTCCACATATCTGGTATGACTGGCCAGGGATCTCTCATTGTCCTGAAGTGAAGAAAACTGATCTTCCACGCAACATTCCATTTAGGCCACCGGTTTTATCCCGGATTCCCGAAGAAAATCATCCGGGAACAAATTCAGTTTTAAATGCTCCAAGGGTAGGAACACGCCCACATCAAATACGGGCTCCTGCTCAACCCAATCGTGGAGCATCCGGTCTGACAGATTCGCATCTGGCAGCCCGCCAGGTTTTGCCAAAGGATTTACCCAGCTTTTCCGGAAACCCGGAGGACCGGCCAGTTTTCATTAGCAATTATGAAAACGTTGCTACATGAACTTGTCGAGAAGCGTCCGTCGGAGATCAAGCTCAAGTGGGTTGACTTCAAGGACGCTGTAGCGAGGGTTAGTCTGGATACTTTTGGGCAGTTTATGGGGGATATTGTGCGGAAAGCAACCGAAGGTATCGAAAGATGAAATGAAGAAAAGCGGTTATTCCAAGGCCCGAGGATTCGTCAATCACCACAGCGATTCTCGTGCGTCAGATGATGACCAGGTGAAACAAACACCAGCGGAAAAGGTATGTCCGATCTGCAGCAAAGTAGGCCATGGAGTGGATAGTTGCGGTAAGTTCAAAGCATTGAATTCTGATGAACGTTGGAAGATGGTGCGGCAGCACAACTTGTGCAGATCCTGTATGAGAAATCACCTTCCTTATCCCTGTCGGTGACGCAAGGATTGTACGATAGACGGGTGTCGACTGCGTCACCATCCCTTGCTCCACTCTTCCCCTTCACAGTCTAAATCAACAGCTAGCCCACAAAACTTCTATACCGTCAGTCAGACCGTACTATATAGCATTCTCCATGTTACGGTTCACGGTGCTTCTGGTATCAACAACACATTTGCGTTACTCGACGAGGCTTCTGAGGATACCATGATAGAGAAGAGTTTGGCTGACAAACTGGGTCTCAAGGGTTCGCCAGAACCTTTGCATCCTCGCTGGACTGGGAACGTGGCCCGGGTAGAGGATCAGTCTTGCGTGGTGAAGCTGGATATTTCCGGAAAGAGGGAGAAACGCAAGGGGTAGATCACTCCGCACACCAATGTTGGGTCATCTTTTTTATCAGTGTACCGCAAGTATGCCGATTGTGCCGGTCATAGAGCAAGCTGCGATTGTTTGTAAAATACCGATCCCGGCAACCCGGTATTTCTGACACCTTGAATGTTTCGGTTTGAAATCGCAAGGATAAATCGGATTGAGGATGACGCGGGAAGTGGCAGGTGTGTGAACTTTCGGTGTTTTGTGATCCATAGGGTAATAAAAGTCCTGTGTTTTAGTGTTTTATAATGCAGACCATAAATCTAGCCTTTCGGCCGGAAAGAGTTGGAACCGGTGGGGAGCATTGTTAGAGACCGACTATAGAGGGTGATGAATAGACTTCTTTAGTTTGTTTTGTGTGATTTGCAGCATTATTTGAATTATAGGTACTAATGAGGTCTGATTAACTGGCTCTTCCTCTTGAGTCCACTCTAGAATCTACATTTAATATTTAGATCTATAAGTGAACTACTGGTCTGAGTTCCTCTGATATATTAAACTAGAAGATGTTGCTGAACATACAGTCAAACAGCACGTAATGTTCTGAAAAACTTCAATGACAGCTGTCCAGCAGTGCTCCCATTTTATTTACAACAATCTAATGCCT